TAAAAATATTAAAAAAGGATTTTTTACACGGCACCCCTGCTCTCGACAGACGGCACCCCGGTTGGGAAACACTAACTTATACCATAAATCACAGAGTTCCTGAAATTACCATTCACAAGTCTTTCTTTCTTTTTCTCTTCCTTCCTTCATTCTTTTGTTCTTTCTTTCTTTTTCCTTCTTTCTTTCTTCATTTGTTCGTTCTTTCTTTCTTTCTTCCTTCATTCTTTTGTTCATTCTTTTTCTCTTCCTTCCTCCCTTTCTTTCTTTTTCTCCTCTTCCTTCATTCTTTTTTTTCTTTTCCTTCCTTTCTTTCTTCACTTTCTTTCTTTTACTCTTCCTTCCTTCATTCTTTTGTTTGTTCTTTCTTTCTTCCTTCCTTCATTCTTTTGTTCGTTCTTTCTTTCTTCCTTCATTCTTTTGTTCTTTTTCTCTTCCTTCCTTCCTTTTTTTTCTTTCCTTCTTTATTTTTCTCTTCCTTCCTAAATTCTTTTGTTCTTTCTTTCTTTTTCCTTCTTTCTTTCTTCATTTGTTCTTTCTTTCTTTCTTCCTTCATTCTTTTTCTCTTCCTTCCTCCCTTTCTTTCTTCTCTTTCTTTCTTTTTCTCCTCTTCCTTCATTCTTTTGTTAATTCTTTATTTTTCTTTTCCTTCCTTTCTTTCTTCACTTTCTTTCTTTTACTCTTCCTTCCTTCATTCTTTTGTTTGTTCTTTCTTTCTTCCTTCCTTCATTCTTTTGTTCGTTCTTTCTTTCTTCCTTCATTCTTTTGTTCTTTTTCTCTTCCTTCCTTCCTTTTTTTTCTTTCCTTCTTTATTTTTCTCTTCCTTCCTAAATTCTTTTGTTCTTTCTTTCTTTTTCCTTCTTTCTTTCTTCATTTGTTCTTTCTTTCTTTCTTCCTTCATTCTTTTTCTCTTCCTTCCTCCCTTTCTTTCTTCTCTTTCTTTCTTTTTCTCCTCTTCCTTCATTCTTTTGTTAATTCTTTATTTTTCTTTTCCTTCCTTTCTTTCTTCACTTTCTTTCTTTTACTCTTCCTTCCTTCATTCTTTTGTTTGTTCTTTCTTTCTTCCTTCCTTCATTCTTTTGTTCTTTCTTTTACTCTTCCTTCCTTCCTTCGTTCTTTTGTTCTTTCTTTCTTTCTTTCAGCAAGGATGCATTAAAACATCAAACATGACAGTAAAACATTTATAATGTTACAAAAAAAAGTCTGGGGTCATTAAGATTTTTTTTTTCTTTTGATAGAAATTAATACTTTTATTCAGCAAGGATGCATTAAATTGAACAAAGTGACAAAGTTACAAAAATATTTCTATTTCAAATAAATGCTGTTCTTTTGAACTTTCTGTTCCAAGAATCCTGAAAAAAAACAAAAATCACGTTTCCACAGAAATCGTTTTCAACATTGATAATAGTAATAAATGTTTATTGAGCAGCAAATCAGCATATTATACTGATTTCTGAAAGATCATGTGACACTGAAGACTGGAGTAATGATGCTGAAAATTCAGCTTTGATCACAGGATTAAATTATATTTTAATATATATTAAACTATAAAATAATGATTTTATTGCATTTTTTATCAAATAAATCCAGCCAACCCCAAGCTTTTGAAAGCTGGTATAACTCTGCATTTAATGTAATGGTAGACTCTTTGATCAATAATAGGCCATAAAACAGTAAAGCCCGGTTTAATGTGAACCGTGTTGTTCTGTGATAGGTCAGTGATCGTGGAGGCGGAGTCCCGCTGAGGAAGATTGACAGGTTGTTGAAACCTCCGGAGCCACTCCCCTGGTCAGTGTGTGACATCTCTGAAATCTGATCATGCTCTCAGTACAGTACGCATCTCAGGGTCCCACTTTCTTTCGGTTTCATTTTTTAATGCTCAGAAACTGAAGAGTTGTATTAGCTGTGCTGCTTACTTTATAAAGCAGTAAAAGTGCCCCTTTCTGCACCCAAACCCAGTCGTCTGTGGATGATAGTCTTAAACAAGGACTGGTGGGACGCTGTGTTGCTCCACTTCACTGATGCTGAGTGAAAGGGGAGTTTTATAATGACGGGACACTCATTTATGCTTAATTTCATGAAGTGTGTGATTAATCACGATTAATCACAGAAAAAAGGTGTGGTTAATTAGATTAAAAATTTTAATCGATTGACAGCCCTATTTTTGACTCATCCATTTTCTTAAAAATGGTTTGAAGGCTGAAATGTGAAGTTTATCATTTTATAAAACTTTTGTAAAAACTTGTATCCGAACTGTAGATTATGCTTTTTACAGTAATTTTACAGTTTAATATGGTACTATAGACATTGCCCTACCCCGCTCATATGGTATTAATTTTATCTGTGCAGTCTTAAAAAGTCTTAAATTTGAGCTTAAAAATCCTGCAGAAACCCTGTGTATTGATGGCATGTGTTGTCTTGTGGTCTCAGGCTGGTTTTGGTTATGGGCTGCCCCTCTCCAGACTTTACGCCAGATATTTCCAAGGTGACCTGAAGCTCTACTCTATGGAGGGATTCGGCACAGATGCTGTCATTTATATCAGAGTGAGTACCTCTGTCTGTAACCGTAACCCTATATAATAACCTCTGCTTTTCATCCTCCAAAATCGATGTATTTTTATTATAATTATTTGCATAAAAAATTAAATCCTATTTTAGGAGATTTTTTGCATTTTTTATATTGCTTTAACAGTAATGCAAAAAAAATGTCAATGTCATTACAGTAATATGGAAAAATATGATGAAAAACTACAAAGCCAACATTTGAATTGTGTGTCTCAATGCAAAAACAATTTTAATGGTCCTAAAACAGACTCAGAAACAGTTTAATGCTCTTCAGAGAAATATGAAGCAGCACAACTGTTTTTAACACTGATAATAATAAGAAATGTTGATACTGAGCAGCAAATCAGCATATTAAACTGATTTCTGAAGGATCATGTGACACTGAATACTGCAGTAATGATGCTGAAAATTCAGCTTTGATCACAGGAATAAGTTACATTTTAACATATTCACATAGAAAACATTATTGTTATTATAAACTATTAAATATTTATTAGTTACTAGTTATTACAGCTGCACGATTCTGGATAAATTGAGAATCACGATTTGTTTTGTCTCAAATAGAGATCACGATTCTCCCACGATTCTGAAC